ACTTAGTGCACACTTACACAGCAGTCATGTCCTTCCAATCATCCTTCTTCTTCCAATCCTGTAAAGACCACAGGTGCTCAAAAGGATGCGATGTTGATAGTCGGAGGAGCAGCAGTTCCTGCTTCCAATCATCACCACCACTGCTCTTTTTCCAGTCCTCTGCCAAACTGCAAGAAAATTTTATATATCATTATATATCTGATGTTCAAGGGTCGTATGCAATGCTTCAGGTTCAAAGACTGATCATGGGCAGTCCTGCTTTTGACTCCAGTCGGGTTTGTCTCCCTTGTCACCCTTATCCTGCTGAACGAAACCGATAGATTGCGGCTAGAGCAATGTCTCCAGATACGGTTTGCAGTGATACCAGCATTCCAGCTGCATTGAAACTACAATAGGGAGCACCATTCTCCTTCCAGCTATAGTCATAGCCTTTCCAATTTCCTGCAACTGCAACTTTGAATGTATATAAATCTGTTGTGGCTTACAAAGGCACCCGGACCTCCACCACCTCCTGAGCTTCCTCCAGCCCGGCCCCAACGTTTTCCTGGCCGATATATAGAGCGTGTGATTCGTCAAAATGTCGTTAAGAAGAGATTCCATGTCCAGTGTCACCAGTCCATAAAGACACAGAATGTCTTACAGGACAAATCAACCAAAAGGCTGGAAGGATCCAAAAACGAGACAGGTTGACCGGTAGCTCTTCGATCGGCACTGAGCGGATCAGTTTCAAGGAGATCAAAATTGTTGTACAGCACCACTACAAGCTAGAGGAGCTTGTGGCGGATGACATTAGGTGTCAGGCTCTATGAGGTCTTCCAGAGACATGCTCAGTTTATCCACCTTCTCCACACCACCTTGACATTGACAATCATGGAGGCAAACATCAAACATACAAATCATGACCTATGAATTGAATTGAAGTTGAAAAGAAACACTGGCTGCTTTGGCCTCAGCATGTCTTGGCTACTGCCCCCCTCCCACGCCTTCTTCTTCTCCTTTCTCATCTCCTTCATTTTCGCCTTCACCACCTTCACCGGCTTCTTCATCAGCTACTTTGCCGCCATCATCTTTGCCGCCATCCTCGACCTCCATCTCATCTTTGGGCTCGTCAGCGTCTTGAGCGTCCTGGAATGAATCAGAGTCATGAAATGTCATTCCCTCTACCACTTACCACTGAAACTCCGATGAAAAGACTCTCCTGAGCATCTTCTCCGGGGCCGTCCTGGCAACAATTCCCCTTCAGCACGCTCGACTGAAACTGTTGAAGGACAAACCTCTGAAATTCTAGTCCAACAATAAAGTTTCTTGGCAACTGTTACTTGTCCAACGTGTAAAGTGTGGACATCACCTCTTCTTCCTGGACATCGCCAGAGCCATCCTTCACCTGGCATCTCGAGCTCCATCAAGAATCCAGTGCTTGGCATACCCTGCGCCTTAAACTCTGGTTACGGCTATGGCTATGACTTTTATGACTATACTTTGTCTAACCACAAATCTTTGGCCCAAAGATGCTCCTGTGGGCTGATGCAGCAACCCGAAAGAGCTAAAGGCAACCAATCTGGCAGCCCTGCCACGCACTCCTCACTGGAAAGCACCTTGCCTCTTCGGCAGGCGCATCCTGCAGTGTCTCGACAAACCCAAGCTTTGGCAGATCTGGCCAAGTTGTGACGAAGCAAAGCACTTTACCCCCTTTCCTGCGGAGCTGCATCTGCACCTTCCTGATCACTTGGCTTCACAAGTGGCGAATAAAATCAAAAGTCTGTCAAGCCGCAGTGGCTTGCAAACGGCTAGATATTGCCAACTCCCACCTCTGCTGGAGCATCCATGGTGGCATCGCTAGCCTCCGTCGCCATCTTTACGGCCTCAGCATTTGGCTGCATTTTTTTTCGTCACCAGTGTGACAAAAATTCACCACTGAGATGTGTGCTGTGCTGCCAGCAGTCAGTCTGGTTTGTTTCATAGGGATCCCAATGAGCCAAATGTCATCAAAGACAAGCAGTGCTGGCAAGTTGGCCCACGCTCAGTGACAATCTGTGCTCTCAGAACCAAAAGGCTCTCTCAAAAGGACTGACGACTTGTTTTGACTTATGGAATGCAGCAAACAATTGAAAACTAGGCTGCTATGCGCCTTCTTTGCTCTCTGCACGTCAACACACTGGACGAAGCAAAGAGGTAGGCACTCCGCTAAGTTGATGCAATTTGTCGAAAAAAGGAGCGTGGCCAAAGGCACCAGGGAAGCTTCTGACAAGATCTATCATGATCTATCAAATGCCTCTGAACCTGTTGCCCACCGCTCTTTGCGTTGAAAATCGATGCACATAGTTGTCAGCCGAAAATGCATAAGGAAGTCAGCACCAATCCAGGAAACAGAATAAGTAGCTGCAAAGGCTCAAATGTTGCTTGTGTCGAGGCCAATTTTGACTCTTGCATCGACCTGAGCAGTCTTCATGTGCCATGTGTACTCATGTCTGGATCACACTCTGTAAGCAAGAGAACGACAAAAAGATACAAAAAGTGCACCCCCCCGGACCCAAGAACCCCAGGCCGGCGCAGGCCTCTTGGGTCAGAGAATTCCAATCTGGGACCTCAAAGGCAACGGCACCGAAGAGCACCGGAAGAGCACCGAAGGGCTCTGATGAAGGTCCGTCTTCCAAGGTCCGCGCACCGAGAAACCTCGTGCCAACCTGACTTTGAAGTGTCGGATGGAACCGTCTCGGTCTATGGAAGATCATGGTTGCCATCTTTAGAAACTGAGAACGCTGCTCGCCCGTTCTTTTTGACTACTATAGCTTGACCAGTAGCCTGACCAACAGAATGCTCACAGTCGGATTGGACAAGAAATTCCCGGTCGCCTCATCAAGGCCTTGACTTCGCACCTGCAAATCATTCGCAACAGCTTTTGGTTCAACTTCCAACTAGCGCTTCAGGCAACTCTAGGAGGGTTTTTAATGAGCTGATCTCGTTCAGTCGAGCGTACAGGTTCCCGCAGGTAGACCATGGTCCTTTTTAAATATGGTTCTTCTGATATCGAAAATACAGCTAGTTGTGGTGCTGGCTGTCCTAAGCCAACTGGAAACCATCAGCCTGAGCAAGCTGAATCTCCTGCAGCAGCTCCCAGTCTTCGCTTTCCTCGCCAGAAATGTCATTCCCCGCGACAACCCTTGCTGCTAACATGCAAGTCTTTGATCTGTAACTCTTCACAAGACCGGTGCCACGAAGCTCTTTTTGAACCAACCATTCCGGGTGCGGCCACGGCTACGGCTTTACACGCTCTCTTTGCAGTGTGACCCTGGGTGACTCTGGGTGACCTTTCAGGTGCTTCTCTCTTTCTCTCCATCTGGTCTTCAACCTACTAGCTATGGCCTCCAACCTAATAGCGGTGGCCTCCAACCTAATAGCGGTGGCCTCCAACCTAATGGCGATGGCCTCCAACCTAATCTCTCCTCTCACCCGAATGATGGTGGCGTCCTGTGGGAGCGCGACAAAGCTAAGGCCGCTGGCAGCTTCGGCAAGCACAGACCTTGGCTTCAATCATCCCATCTCTGACATCACGCAGAAAGCATAAGTCCAAAAGGAGGAAGTTTAGTTGAAACAAGCCCAAATTGCCAAAGAGTATGAGTTTTCAACTTGTCGTCCGCCGTGTTCAATACCGGGATCAGCAGGAAGTCACATCGTACCATAGCCTAGGTCGCTCAGTTCAAAAAGTCAAACGCTGGACTGGTCAGCAAAAGGCCTCCGCGACCTTCTTGGAGGTGTTTATGCAGTCGAGGCCTTAAAAACAGAGTGCGAGGTTGCAAAGGTCATTGACGAAATTATGTAAATGGCAGATCCAGAGGGTAGTCCTACCAGCACGTCCAGCTACAAGTGGCAATATCAGAGATAAGGCTGTGGCAAAACCCTTGGTCACCCAAGCAAATGACCTCAGCTGAGTCCCCATGAAACAGCAAGACAGGCAACTGAAATCTCGACATCTGCGCATCTTCTCATATGTATCTTTCTATTTCTGCGTCAAGCACAACTGGGAGGCCAGGCAGGGCGCCAAGGAGGAAGCTGCCGTCCGCTGCGTAGATCACTAAGCTTCACATCAACGTCCTGATGATGAACGGTGTGATGATAACCAGCCGTGCACAACGTTGTAATCACCTTAGTACTGGAAGTGCACAAAGCAGAGCTAGGGAAGGCCTTGCCCTCAAAGCTTGCTCGGACAGGAAGGCGAGCAATCAATGCCCCTTCCTTCGAATGGCTTGAGCAACTTCTCATCTTGCTCACTCTACGACACAATGAACTTAAAATCACAGTTGGCAGTCCTCCTTGGCCTGCTGGCGGACGGAGTCCTTATTCCATTCCTAACAGGGTCATGCAATCAATTCAACTTTCCACATTGATGAAAACTTGAAAGTCACCGCCCAGCCTGATATGTGAGGAAACCGAGGAATAACGTGGCTCCGAAATTGATGGCCAAGTCTCCAGCGACTTTCCTGAAACGATGGGCTTCAAGCTGGCATGAAAAGCAGATTCAGACTGTTCACCCTGTATGAATATCATACATCTGTAGATATCTGAAGTAGCTACGTAGTAGATGCAGCGATGCGAACGTTGAGCTTCTCAACCAAACCTGTATCTATGGCACTGAGCCTTTGGCTCCAAAGGGGATGCACGGGGTGCACCCAGCAAAGTCTCAGCAAAGTCTCAACACTTTCCCAAAGCATCTGAGTGTCACTCAGAAATCAACCGACTGAGCTGAGAGCTGCCAACAGCCTGACCCAATCGCGCCAACAGCTTTTGACAACTTAACATGAAATGTAGATCACAGAGTACAGACACAAGATCCCAACAATGGAAGCATTCACATGTCGTGCAAAACCCACATGCCTTGGTAGTATGAAAAGCAAGCCAATTCCTGCTCCAGCCTCAGTCCACTTTCACGACTTGCTTGTGTTTGGATGTGCTAAAGGCGGCAACCAAACTCCCCTTTGAAAGGGTACGCCATCCCTGCAGACTTTTTCTCATGTCATGCTCTGCTCGGCAGTGTCTTCATTTGTCGTGCAAACCAACCTTGGATTGTTCAATTGCAGCTTTCCACTGAACAATTGCCTCAGAATCATGTGACAAAGGGAACTGACTGCATCATGGAAATACTGCCTTGCCGAGCTGCAAGAAGTACGGGATGGTGTTGTCGGTGCCGGGTTGAGGAAAGGGTGGCCGCGTGGGATCATTCTCCACAAAAAGGGCCCCATACACTTCCTTGCAAGAGTTTGCAAGCGACAAAGGTGTGCAGCTTTTGTGGAACGCTTCGCCTCGCGTTTGCAAAGCCAGCTCGGACCCAGGTCGCTACCATCCTCCAATGGGGAGGAGCTCAGATGAAGCCGATTTGAACGTGCACAGTTTGGCTGCTTTGTCAGGATATGCAATTAAAAGAGGAAAGTGAAAACGTCAAGAATCTATCTTTGCTGTTTTTGCCCTCAACAAACAAACCCTCGTGATGCCAAGAATATGTCTGAGACTAAGGTTGCTTTTGATTGACTCTACTGGTTCGAAGTGCATTGCATGAGCCAGGCCTCATCAGTTTGATCCAGAATGTCCTCACACATGACACAGTGACTGTAATGTCATGTTACAGAAAGTGCATTAGCACAAAGCAATTGATGCTTCCAAGCGTCTTGCTCTGTTTGTAGATGTCTCTGTGAAAGAACCAGCAGCCTTCCACCATCAACAGCAACCCGCCGCAGCTCCTTGTGCACTTGATTCAGTTCAAGTCCGGTCAGAGTTGCAAGAAGCAGTCCTGAAAATACTTTCGCCGCTCGGTGACACTACCAATGCAATCTGAAAGCCCTGGCAGCTTCACTGCAAACACTTGGTAACCCCGAAAGCTGTGGCGCACCTTTATCTACAATGGCTCCAAAAGAAGCATCTTCGAAGGAGAGAGCCCTGCAAGAACTCAGAACCAAATCAAGGCTTGTACACAACACGGCTGCGCCTGGCATCCATTGTCAAGAAAGCTAACTCTGGGAAACGAATCTTCATTCGATCCTTGATGCAATAACATGTGAAAACACCATAGCACATAAAGAAATCAAAACGACTTGAAAACCAGGCTGGAGAAATGCTGCTAAGCTTCGGTGACCTCTGAAGAAAAGTCGATGCTGATCACCTGAGTATCTTGGAATAAACTACTCGGCTGATTCCACGAAAAAGACTTATCTGACCTCGCCTCCCATTCCGGCTTCAACGCCTGACACTTAAGAGCGAGCAAGGAGTCAGGCAGGAATTGAGCCAAACACGTTTTCATGCAAAGCATAAATTCCAAACAAAATGCAAATGCAAAGCATCAAGTCCTTCTCAGACGCAAGCTGAGCACTCAATGCAGAGTCTCCACTTCCGACAACAAGTAGTCTCCTAAAGGTCTGCGCATGGAGAATTGTGCTCACCGTCGGTGGCATAAGGCGTACACTTGTCGTGCCTAACTGCAGGCCTCCACACACTTGGGGCCCTGAGAGACTTTGCTTACAACCAGGGTTCCTTTTGCGTTTGTAGGCTCTTAGAACTGTTGAGCAAAGCAAAACAAAAATAAAAGGACCGGATAACCCCACATGATAAGTTTTACAAGTTTCAACTGTATATGAACATCACTTGGGAGACGGAGTAGTGAGATGAAAAGTCAAGAAGGAAGTGTGAGGCGGTTATGCTCAGACGTCCAGTATAAGTGATGATGTGATGGACGAGGATGAGAAGGAGGGGAGGGAGGAGGTGTGTGTGTGTGTGGGTGAGGCTATCAAGTGGCGTTCAAAACGTAACACACTCGAAACGACCATTAAAGCTATCAAGTGGTCTCATCCCGACCACGGCGGGCAGTGTTAGTAGGATGTAAAGCAAGAAGAGGTGAGACACGCTTTTTTCTCTCACGCAGAGATGTAGAGTGAGCTCCAGGCAGGACCTGAGCTCCGGTCAACTCGCACGAACAGTGAGTATATATTTGCAACACTGAAGGCGGAGGCTAGCACAAGACATCAGAAGTGTCGATGTCAGAAACGAACTTGGTCAGTGTCAATTCTTTTGAGAAACGAACTCCGTCAGTCGTTATGCAACGCAAGGCAGCGTTGTTTTCGATTCTTTTCGCAGCAGTGTATCGTCACAGTCTGTCCAGCTCGTCACGTCGACTCGCCGGCATGCTAGCTCATAGTTCTTGAACTGCAGCAAAAATGCGAGGTCTTACAAAGGAATTTAGGTTCTTCTCCCAAGTACGCAATGCCCAGAAGACATGCGGCCGATGCTTCCAGGGGTGAAGCGTGGGACGGGCCGTCAACAAGCTCTGCACAGCCGCTTCCGCGGAGAGCTGACGACGAAAGATCAACCACGCGCACAATGCCGCTGAGCTGCGGTTGACCCCGCCGAAGCAATGAAAGAGGATGCCTCGTTCTTCTCGCTGAGTCGTTGCCTTCAAGTGCTTCAGAAGAGCGCAGCACATGTCCATCCACGATGACAACCAGGCATTTCCCACTTCTTGACAAAAAGTATTGGTGTCATCCAAGTATGTTCTGGGATCGTCCACGTCGAACGTAAACCACCGAATCTGGAGATCTTCAAACCACGCTTTCCAGCCCACCTGTGGCTGTCCACGAATACGTTTCATCTCCCGCGGACAAAAGCTCAAGACAACCGA